CTCACCTCCTCACCACCGCCGCTGCCTCCACCTCACCGCCTCCCCCGGCCCCAGCGGAGGCCACCGGATTGCCGCCATCCGCGGGTCTAGCGAGTCCCTCGGCGGCGGCGGCGGCGGAGCCGGAAGAGGATCCGTACAGCGGAACCTCCGGGGGAGACAGCTGCGGCGGCCGCCGCGGTGGAGTCGCCGGCAGCTCCTCTACATCTCCACCTTCCCCCGGCAGGGCTCCCTCGGCCCCCCGGGGAGGAGGAGAAGCGACTACAGCCCCACCCCGATCTGAGCCGCCGCCTCCGCCGCTACCGCCGCTGGCTGGCGCGGTGCTACTGCCACTAACGCCATCAGTACTACCACCTCCGCTACTGCCACCGTGGCCGCTGCTGGAGCTGGATTCCGTTGACCCGCCTGTGTTTGTTGTGTGTATGTATTTATGTGTGTATGTATGTGTGTGTGTATGAGCGAGGGGAGAGGGTGGACGTGTGTCATTCCGTATGCCGTTATGTCGTACACTGTAAGAGTTCCGCTGGTGATTGGCGCTGTGATGTGATGTGGTGTAAGTATTCGCTACAGCCTCCCCCCCCCCGGTTGGGGAGGGAACACTTTCGTAATACAATGGAGAGGTTGAGAGGTGTTAACCTGAGGTTGATAACATTCCGTACGTAGTACGGAGTCCGTACATGTCGCCCTTCCCTCCCTCCCTCCTTTCCTAAACATATACGTACATACATACGTACAAACACACACCATCTCGCGGTTCAGTTTTCTAAAAACACATACACGTACACAGGCACACACACACACACACAAACACACCTGACGGCTCTGCAGCTCCGCTGCCGCCGTCATCGCCAGCGGCCCCTCCCGCCGCTGCACTGCCGTCGCCGCCTCCGCCTCCGCCTCCGCCAGCGGCAACGTCCGCAGCCCCTCCCGCCCTCACGACGCCACCGCGATGCGCCCAGCCCCCCGTCGGGACCCCCCGCCAACAACAACGACCACACAAACCCGCGGAGAAACGTCCCACGGGTCCGCCCCGCATCGGCATCAGCATCCCCATCGTCGTCGTCGTCGTCATCATCATCGCCATCCTCGGTGGTGAGGTGGAGGGTTGAGTCACATGTGGCACACGTGTGGAGTCCCAGCGGCCGCCGCCTGTGGGAGAGCTCCCCGGTGTGTGTGTGGGTGTGTGTATGTGTGTGTGTATGGGGGGGGAGAGGGGTGAACGCGGCGGGTCAGGGGGGCCCCGGGGGTGATGTGAATACGGGCGTGCATGTGGGAAGCGGGGGTGGAGAGATATGTCTGTATGTCAGATCAAGTCAAGTCATGGAGGAGGGGAAACGACCCGGGGTGCCAACTACCAACTACCAACTACCGACGTCCAAAGTTGCCTAGTACTGCAGTTGGGGTGCTACGGCGCTGACTGACACAACGGGGCGGGGGTGGCCTTGAGGTGGCTTTACTTGGGGCGGTTGGGACTGCCCTGAGTGCCCATTTGTAATGAGGGAGGGAGGGAGGGAAGGGGGAAACACGAACCACACACGAGAAGAAGAAGAAGAAGAAGAAGAAGAGGAGGGAAAGGGGAGGGAAGAGGGCAGGGGAGGGAAAGACGAATCACGAACGAGTGAAGCTGCTGCCAGGGGAGGGAGGGAGAGGGGAAACGGGGCGGGGGGAGATAGGGGCGGGGGGGGGGAAATCGATGATGATGATGAGGATGATGATGAGGATGATGAGGGGGGTGCACAGTGGAGGGAAGGGCCGCACTGCCGCCGGTGGGCTGCAGGTGGGGGTGGTGGGTGCTAGGGGACAGTCAGTCAGCGCAACGGACAACAACTACAACAGTAGCAGCAGTAGCAGTAGCAGTAGCAGCAAATGTACACACAAGACGAGGGGGTAGGAAGTTCTTTTCCTCCACGAGGACTGTGTGTGTATGTATGTATGTATGTGTGTGGAGGAGAGGGAGACTGAGAGAGAAAGAGAGAGGCAGTGAGAAAGAGAGAGAGAGATGGACAGACAGACGGACAGACAGACGGACAGAGAGAAGAGGATCCAGTGGATTTTATGTGGGGTGGGGGCCATGTCGAGGAAAGGCAGCTGGTCATTACGGGTCCCCCCGGGAGCAATGAGAGGTACATCCCCCGCTCTCCTGCCTGGGAGGGAGCTGTGCGGCGGGGACTACCTGCCAAGTGCTGAGTGCTGGCCGGGCTCGACGGCCGATGCTGCGGCTGGATGGCTACTTGGGAGATTGAGGTAAAGTTGGATACCGATTTGGGATCAAATATTTCAAGGAAATGCATGGGGGTAGCGGAAACAGCTGTTTAACTGTGTGTCGTACTCACGGGTCAGTGAGTAGCATGGGGTCGTTGGGCCCAATGCCCACGCCACAGATGTGATACGATGGTAAGGCACGGACGCGCGCCACGATAGAGATTGATGACCACGCAGAATGCAGAGGCGAGGGTTAGATGAGAGGATTTGCCGCTCTCCAGGCGCCAGTCTGAACACGGAGCCGGGAGGCGGTTGCCGGTCCATGGGCTTTGGACGGCAAGGGTCGCTGAGCTGTATGCGTTAAGGTTGTACATCAATCAGTAACAACATGATGCGATTGTGGTTCTGAATTGGGAACGGAAGCATGCTGTACTAAAGCAGCATTCCACGCCACGATGCGCAGCTGTCGTGGTCAACGAACCGACCCGCAATAGGTAGTTGTACAAGCCTAATTTGATCGACGAAACCGTTATGGTGAGTAATGTAAGTCAGAGAGCTTGAGGGAGAGAAGGCGTTCGCATGTCCGTACTGGTTTCGCAAGCAAGCTCGCAAGGTCCCCAGTCCTGCATCCCATCATTGCAGTGAGTCCCAGGGATTTGCATCGTCATATCTGAAAATATACCATCCTTGATGTCTTAATAGGATGATGCTGTGTATCGTAAAGTTTCGAGTCCAGCTAGCCGGTTGACAAATTTAAAAAGAAGCCTGCACATTTTAGATTGCTCGCTGCTGATAATATGCACCTTAACTAACAGGAGCAGAATCATGATTGCGTTGTTGGCTCGCGTGAGCGGCGTGCCTGGTGCTGTGCATCCAGGCGCGCTGCAAGCACTCCTCCAACAAGGTGCAGGATGTTTCCCAGGTAGACTTGCAACATGTCCAGCAGTTTTAAAGTGACCCGGCAATCCTTCATCGCACGCCCATCGTGACGCTTGCCAAGTGGCGTCTTTACGCAGGGCTGGAACAGCTCCAACGAGTCTGGCCAGCAAATGCTCGCTGTACTGCGGGCTCTGATTTCGATAGCGCGTCGCCCACAACTTCCACATCGTACGTCGCACCGCTCACGCCGCATCACCACCATCACCGGCGCTACCCCTGCCATTCCCGAATCCAGCTCCAGCAGCGCCAGCTTACTCCGGCATCAGCTCCAGAACCACTAATGACAGCGACAGCAACACCGCTGCAGCTGCAGCAACTTCGCGCCTACCGGATTCCCAACCGCGTTGCCCCCCCCAAGGTCGCCTACTCGGTCCGCTGCGGCCGCCCCGCCCCACAGCCCTGGCCCGAGCTCGAACCCGTCAAGGTGCCGCCGCAGGGGGAAGTCCGCTGGCACCGCAATGTCGTACGCTTCCCGCCAGAGGTCGCCGTACAGCTCGAGGAAAGCCCGGCCGGCTCTGGCGGTGGTGGCTCCCGCACCTTGGTGCTGAGCGGCAAGGCGGGGACCATTCGCCTCAATATGCAGGTCCGTCACCTTGTTTGTTTGTCTATCTCTCTGTCTGTCTATAGTGGTTGTCACCGCCCACGGTGATTGCCACAACCGAAATCGATTATTCCGGGGCTGGTAAGGGGGCGGGCGGGTGGCTAGTGGCAGGTGGGTGGGTGGTTTACCCCTGCCGGCTGCTGCGCTGCGTTGCGTTGCGGCGAGGACTAGGACTAGGGCGGTGGTTGGCAGGTGGTGGAGGTGGAAGCCACCACGGGAATATGGGAGAGTGAGTCGCGGGTTGGGCCGCACAGTACTTTTTACACACATACATACATACACATGCACACACATTGTGTATTTACTCCAGTTGGGCGGTGTGAGGATGATAGATGGCTTGTGTGCTATGCAGGGCCTTGCTTGTAGCTCTTTTAGGTGCTGTGATGCCCACCTCACGAGTATACGTACCTCCTCGGTCGCCAGATGGCGGCATGTGTGCATGTGTGTCTGTGCATGTGCACGTACCTAGATAGCAGCGTGTATTGGTGTTTGTGGCGGTTTAAGGGGCCCCGACTGCAGTGGCTGGCTTTCTTCTCAACTGGGTCGGGGGGGTACTCAGTACAGTACGGGGCAGTACGGGAGAAGGACGTCACCACTGGGGTCACCTTACCCCTCCCTGCAAGGAGGGGCCGCGCCATTGACTGGACGATGATGACGTCCACGTCGGAACGGTGGCTCATGTCTGGAGTCGGGAGTCCAGTCTCCCGGGCTGACAGGGGGAGATAGAGAGAGAGAGAGAGAGAGTCCCCCTCTCTACTGCAGCCACCCCACAGTCCCCCACAGTCCCCCGCCCACTATTAAACCCCGCCCCCCACCGCTAACGAAACGTCCTTCAGGAGCTGGACGCAACGGGGCTGTTGGCCTTCCGCCTCATCCAACTCGCACCGCCCACCACCACCACCACCAGCAGCAGCGGAGCAGCAGCCAAACAGCCCTCGCAGCCCCCCTCCAAACCCCCCGCTGCTGCTGCTGCTGCTGGTGGTGGCGCTACCGGTGTTGCTGGTACTGGTCGCAGCGTGTTGGTGTTGGTGGGCCCCAACAAGTCCCGGTTCGACGAAGCGGTTGAGTCCATCAACAGCGCCATCCGCGGAGTCATGAGCGGGTACCTGGTGGGCCTTACGGTGAAGGGAGTGGGGTATCGGATGGAGCCGGTGGAGGATGACAGGGGGGAGGTGAGGACGGCCGGGGAGGGGAGGGGGGGAAGGGGGTTTTTCCTAAGAGGGAATGGAAAGTGGGGGCCTTATCAGCGGGTGCAGCGGCAGGTTAAGAGGGCTTCCCGCGGAAGCGGCTTCCGATCGGGGGATATTTCAGTGGCCTCAGGAGGGGGGCTTCGGGGGGCTTCGGGGTGGGGGTGGGAAGAGGGAGGGGAGCGAGGAGGGATTCGCGTGGGGGTGGGGGTGGGAAGGTATCACGTCGCGAGCCGTACGGGAGGGGGGAGGGAGAAGGGGGATGCGGTGTGTGAGGCGGCCGGCGGGGGGTGGGGGGGGTGGGGTGGGGAAGCCAAATAACATAATGTAGGAAACAAAGTAAAAAGTAACAGCTGCTGCCGACTGCCGTGTAAAGCCCCGCAGTATATTATAATAGGGTTGTGCCGACCATTAGAAATGGAATTCTAACGTATAGAATAATTCTAATGAGAAATCACCCTATAAATGAGAAGGGCCTGCTTCTGGGATTAGAATGAGAAAGCTGTACGACAGCCTGGATCCTGCATTAGAATCGCCAGAAATAGAGGCTTGTGCATTATATAACACTTTTGCATATTAGTACCTTACCTATAGATGTTACTCTGTGTCAGCTATGGCATTTCATCAAGCGGACAAGCCTGACACAAAGCAACCTGACCATCAGCCCGACAACAACATTGAAGTTAATACAAGTATGGTGACAAGAATTTAGACGCCCCTGCCTACACTACGCTAATGTTCTCAAAGAAGTTAAGAGGCAAAGCAGCGCGCGTCGTGGTGGGTTCGTTTCAACGTCCTGCTGACAGCTGGCGCTGTGTGGCTCCAATGCGTCCGCTGCAACAACAAGATCCTGAGCGCTAAGGATCCGTCACGTCAAGTTTGCTCTCAGCACGTCAGAGCATGCGATAAGAAGCTGATGGAGGCGGCTGCAGGAGGCTCCAGAATGCCTCCCTCGCCCAGCAGCCCGCAGCCTGGGCCTTCCACCACCCCCTCCGCCGCCGCTGCCGCTCCCCCCGCTACTGCTCCCTCCAACGATCCGTCCGCCGGCCCGTCCTCCGCTCCTCCCGGCCCCTCCACCGCCCCCCCTTCCATTCCCCTCGATGGCCTCTGTCAACAAGCGCCCTCGCACCGAGGGTTCAGACGTTCTCGCAGCTTCTACCCCTCTTCTGTTGCCATCGCCCAGTTCCTGCGGAATCTTGCTCTTTTTTTTCTTCAAGTGCAACATATAGCTTTTCACCTGGTGTCTGTATCCGTCTGGCAACTGGCTGGAAATAACAACAACACTTGGCAAGGTTGGCTTTGCATTCTAAGGGGGGTATATATCCAGGCCAAGAGGTACACCCTTCTGGGTTACGACCCCGGCCGCATCCACTTTCGGCATAAAAATAAAAATTGGAAACGCCTGGATAACCATGAGCCGCCATGCCCACAAATTTTCAGTTAATTCTTCGCGCTGGGTGAAAAGATAGCAAAGTGATTCTCATTCTCATATTCTAAAATTTACTTCTAATTAGAATATGATATGAGAGAAGGATTTTCCTTCTACGGTTAGGAACAACGCGCAGTATATAATAGCAATGACGCAATGTTTGAAGTTCACCGACCACATCTTTCCACCACCTTGTGTGCGTTACCCTTGTGTACTTTCCGTAATGGTCGCGTCCGCAGCGTTGTGTGTTGCTGCTACTGTTTGCTGCTGCAAAAGAATTGTTGTAATAAAGAGGAGGAGGAAAGTCCAATGTCGGCAATGTGATTATTGCATGGCGTGGCACATACATACATACATACATGCGCTCAATGCTAGTTGTGTAGGTGGGGATGGGGGTGACTTTCCCCTTCAGGAAGGAAGGGGCAATCCTCATCAGCTGTGTGTTTGGTCTACGATTGAATCCCTCTGGGCTCCCTCGGGGCCTCCACGGCCCCCCTCCCCCCTCTCTTGCTCTGGCAGCAGCTTCAATCGTGTGTGGTTCGTCTTTCCCCCCTCCCCCCTACTACTTCTGGTACACTCTTGCCCTGGCAGCAGCTTCACTCGTTCACGTGGTTCGTCTCCTCCCCCCCGGCCCCCCCCCAGGTGGCGAGTCGTGTCCCCCAGCTCAGCTATGCGCAGCTGCTCAGGAGGTCCCGGGCGCCGGGGGGCCCCCGCCCCAAGCCCTACTACTTCGAAGCCGCGGGGGAGGAGAAGAACGTTATCAACTTTCCGTACAGCAAACCCGCATCAGCCATCCGACTCAAGGTACGGCACGGTACGGGTATCTGCCTGAGCGTTTTGTTGAGAGTTGTGGGCATGTGGTGGGGGGAGACAGAGGTGACACCGGGGGGGAGAGCTCGGCTGCTGTCTGGAGGGTGTTGGCGGGTTGTGGGGCGATGTGTGTGTGTGGGGGGGAAAAGTCCTTTTGGTCGCCCTTGGTTGCTCGGACGGATAGTAAGGTGATGTGTGGGTGGTGGAATGTGTGTGAGTGGGAGTGGGATGTGTGGGTGGTGCGGGTTCCGCAATCGGGCGAATGTAAGTGGAGTGGTTGGTGAGCCGCCACGGGCAGATCCGAGCGGCCCTGCATGAACACGTCGTATACTGTGTACTGTGTACTGTGCACATTCAAAGGTGGGCTGTACACACACATTGTCATATGTCATCGATCATTGACCAACTGGTTCATCTGGACCGAGCATTGACAGCGCCAAACTTCCGAATGGGTCCCCCGCCCCGTGTGAGAGCCGTTGCACCCCCATGACAACCCTCATAACCTCATTCATTGTTACATTTTGTTCTTCTCCTTCTTCTCCTCCTCCCCCTCATTGTTGTTGTTGTTGTCGCTGCCAGGTGGGCTACAGTCGTACAGTCGTGTACCCGCTACCACCCCACATCCGTGCCTTCTGTCTCAAGCCCACCCTGGTGTACTTGTACGGCCTGGAAATGGACGAGCTCCAGCGTGTGGCGGCCGAGATCCGGTCCATCCGCAAACCCAACCCGTACACGGGCAATGGGGTGCAGTATGTGGACGAGGTCGTGAAGCTCAAACAGCGTGCACGTGCCAAGTAGAAGGTATCGAACTGGGGACTAGTTCGGAGATGGTGAGGCGACGAAGTGCGCAGGAGGAGGGGGGGGGAGGAGCAGTGAGGAGGAGGAGGAGGAGGGGGGGGATGGACACGGCAAAGTTGTATTCATTACTAGATGTGATGTGACGTGATGTGACATGATGATCTGACCTGAACGATGTGGGGTTTGCAGGGGGCAGCATAGCAGTGGTGGAGGCGGCGATGAATGAATGTGAATGAATAATCGCAACTTGGTGGACCTGACTATGGTGGTACTGCCTCGCACACTTTATTTCAAGTCATGCATAACTATATCGCTGTAACGCACCTGTCTGTTATTATTCAAGGTCCTCCACAAGTGAAGTGGTGGGATTGAAAGAGACCCGAGTGAGCCGTCATAATATTGAATGGATCAAGCATGTGGCGAATACCAAAAGGCGCATAGGAAAGCGAGACAGCGTAACGGTTTATGCTCATTGCAATTGCAATGAGCTGATGATGCTGAACCATATCCAATTATACATCACTCCTGACGCATGCCCAGGTTTGTGTGACCCTCCTGACCCTGACCTGACCCTGGCCGGCTCAGGGACCAGCATCACCTGCTCTCCACCTCTACAAACGACTCTCCTCCACCGCTTTCCCACCTCCTCTCCACTCTCATGCGGCCACCTACGCCTTCTCTACTCTGATGCCAGACAGCACAGAACCCATTCCCCTCTCTTCGACGGGCCCCAATTCCCGGACGGAGAGGACATACACATGAACTCACACAGAGCCTGACTCCGCACCTTCCCCCTCGCAACATCCTGTCAACAATATTCTATTGTGATCAGCAGCACGCGTTTACAGGTCCTTACATATGCTAACAAATCCTAAAAGCTAACGAATGTTAACAGCTTGGGCTCCAGATATTTGTCAGCCCCAGGGCCAATCAGGACAAGACGGCCTCTAACCGACGTTGCTGGCAACTATTATCCGTTTCACCTGATAATGAGCTCATCTGACAGCCCCACCTAAGAAGTAAACAGCGCTGTTATACCCCCTATGAATTGGTAGGGTGCCACAGACTTCCAAACTCGGACACGACAATTATAAGCAAACCCTGATCATCTGGAGGATGATGCTAGCGCCCTCGCCTCCAGCAAGCCAACTGACCGGCAGTGCAGGGGACCATTTCTTCCCGGCGCTGCCGTACGACCAAACAGCCAGTGCCGCAGAGTCGGAGTGTGCGGACGCGGCGGAGAGCGGCGGCCCCAGCTTCTGGCAGCCCCAGGCGCCGCATCTGGATGAGTCTGCTGCTGCTACTGCTGCTGCTGCCGCTGCTACTGAACCGGTGAACACGGCAGCGGGGGGGTGTCCGATCGGAGCTCTGACGGGCGCCGCGGCGGCGGATGCAGTCGGCTCCTCTGGTGGTGCTGCACTGCAGGATGGCGCGGTCCCCGCTGCCCCAGCCCCCTGCCGCCGCCGCCGCCGTCGTCGTCGTCAGGGCGTTCCACCACAAGACCGGCGGCCCCTGCGACCATTGCGGAGCCACCGGTGAGCACCGCTCTCCATCTGGGTCAGCAGCCCTGAAAGCGTTGGTAGTGGGTTGGTTGTGGATTTCGGTAGGCTGCACTAAATGAACTGTCGTGTAGATTTTGTAATAAAACCTGTATCTGCTTTCCGTGACCCTTGGGTCCCCTCTCTCTCCCGCTCCTTCCCTCCCTCCCTCCCGTGTTTTAGAGTCGCCACAATGGCGCCGGGGGCCCCCCGCGAAGCCCATGCTCTGTAACGCCTGCGGCACGCGCTTCAGACGGACCAATCAGCTCAACCCGGCCGTGGCGATCGCGCCCGCCGGCAGAGCAGCCGCTGTCGCTTCGGCGGCGGGAGGGGGTGCTGCTGCCTCCGCCGCGGCAAAGCGCAATGCAGCAGCGAAGCGTGACCCGCCTTACATTGCGAGCACGAGCGTGAAGCGCGGCCGCTCGTCTTCCGGGTACTGAAGTCCAGGTACTGAACCGCGTCCCGCTGCGCGCTTTGGTGGGTGCTGAGTCAGTGGTGAACCCCCGAACCGCGGCTGAGGCTGAGGCTGAGGCTGAGGCTGGTTGGCAATTGACTGACGCAACGGTGCGACATTGGCAGCTCCTGCAACTCCTTGCATTTGGGTCGATATCCATTCGGGTCGATATCCACGCGGTTAAGAGCCGCCGGGGTGAAATCCCCTCCGTGGAGATGTCTGTGCCGGGTTTGGAAGATGTTGAATCGTGTCATTGGCGTGTTCGGCGACGGTGTTTGTGGTGGTGGTCGTGGTTGTGGTGGTTGTGGTGGTTGTGGTGGTGATGGTCGTGCTCATGGAGTTGGGAGGTGGTGGCGTCGTGGCACCGCCACCGCGGGCTGGTGGGCTGAAATGGTGGCCGAAGGCGGTTTGTGGTCGCGTTGCAGGAAGGCTTCTCCACCTGTGGCCTGGTAATCATCAGAGCTCTGTTCATGTTAACATACTGTCGGGTGACGTGTGTAAGACTGAGAGCTCACGCGGCAGGCAGCCTGCAAATTGGGAGTTTGCTGTTGTTGCTGCTCCTGCAGTTCAAAGTTTGTTCCCGAGGGCCGCCGGCCGCCGTGGCCATCTGGGTCACCGCTGGTCGGGTCGTTTTGCGCACCCGGATGGGGGCCGCACGCGTCATGATGGGCTGTTGCTGCCAAGCAGCCGCCTGCTGGGTCGACCAGAACAGTAGGTCGGTCCACCATCTCCAGAGCTTGAACTGCTTCCTCGAAACAAACCGGCGCTGCGGCGAATTCCTCCTCGCCGCGTAAAACAGGCGTGTCCAACAGTAGGAACGGGGTCGGCATGTGAGGCCATGCGAAGTGCTCAGCTTACAATGATATTCGCGCGGAAGAAGGATTCGATCATAAACAGAACAATATGTGGGCGCTCAGTTACCACTTTGGGCACTAGTTTCTCTCTTCTCCTGCTCTTATTTTCTCTCTTTTTTGGCTTTTAGGCGTTCAGGTCTTGCCCTTGGGCCTTCGATGGGCAGTTCTACAGGTTAAGTTCTATAGGTTACGCACCCAACAATGTAACACACACGCACATTATATTGGTGCGAACAAAATCACATTATCGGTGCGACTTTGAAGAAGTTGCTATTCTTCATGTGCGTTCCACAATTTGTAACAAATTTGCATAGGTTTCAGGGTTTTACTCCAACCTGGACTTTTGACAAATAGCAACCAGGTTGGAGCTTCGCAGGAGTCATCAGATGGGAAGCCGAACACCCCCAGCTAACTTTCAATCCTGTTTGTCACATGAAAAGCTACTCAATGTAGGGGGGCCCGATAACTTGTACCCGGCCTCAAGTAGGCATTTCCGCCAGGCTTGCGTTGTAACGACAGCAAGCTTAAGGCAAGCTCGCATGCAAGATTTACCGTAAATTCGCACGGAGGCTCACTTGAATTTCGATGTGGCGGGCAGCATGTCTTATAAATAGTGTACTCGCTGTATTATAATGACACAGAAGCCTGTTTGAATACTAACAAATTAATACTGCACTTTTCTGCCTCTTTTCTACCTCTTTCCTCTTTTTGATGGCAATGCGCGTGCGGCTGCCGATGGTTGCCCGCGCACCTACGTGCGGTACTCCGCGATGTGGCGGAGTCTGTAAGTCACAGTATGGAAGCGATGCGCAGCTGGAGATGCTGCGCTGCGCATGCGTCAAGATATGCAGCAGGGATTCCAGAATGTATCCTCGCAATTTGTGCAGTATGAGGAGAAACTGCAGCAGGTGCAGGAGGTGCAGGAGGTGCAGCAAGATGCAGCAGCAGCTGCAGCAGCTGGGGCAGGCGCAGCAGGCACAGCAGCAGCAGCAGCAGCAGGCGCTGATAAACATCGCAGAATTGCAGAGAACAACATCGGGTGCGCTGTCGACTTACAAGATCTTAGTCCTGGCGGCGTTTAATGGAGCTTTGGTAGCCTCACCGGTAGCCATTTTATTGTTGTATATAGTAAACTCTTGGAAAGGTTGAGCTGGGATTTAGTGCAGATGATCAGGGTGTGCTTATGATAGTGTCGTGCCCTTCGTTTAATAACAGCTCACTGCCACGAACTTCCAAACGAAGGGCACGACACTATCATAAGCACACCCTGATCATCTGCACTAAATCCCAGCTCAACCTTTCCAAGAGTTTACTATATACAACAATAAAATGGCTACCAGTGAGGCTACCAAAGCTCCATTAAACGCCGCCAGGACTAAGAGGAGAATCTTGTAAGCTTAAGTCGACAGCGCACCCGATGTTGTTCTCTGCGATTCTGCGATGTTCTGCAGCGCCTGCTGCTGCTGCTGCTGCTGCTGCTGCTGCTGTGCCTGCTGCGCCTGCCCCAGCTGCTGCAGCTGCTGCTGCATCTTGCTGCACCTCCTGCACCTGCTGCAGTTTCTCCTCATACTGCACAAATTGCGAGGATACATTCTGGAATCCCTGCTGCATATCTTGACGCATGTGCAGCGCAGCATCTCCAGCTGCGCATCGCTTCCGTACTGTGACTTACAGACTCGTAGGTGCGCGGGCAACCATCGGCAGCCGCACGCGCATTGCCATCAAAAAGAGGAAAGAGGTAGAAAAGAGGCAGAAAAGTGCAGTATTAATTTGCTAGTATTCAAACAGGCTTCTGTGTCATTATAATACAGCGAGTACACTATTTATAAGACATGCTGCCCGCCACATCGAAATTCAAGTGAGCCTCCGTGCGAATTTACGGTAAATCTTGCATGCGAGCTTGCCTTAAGCTTGCTGTCGTTACAACGCAAGCCTGGCGGAAATGCCTACTTGAGGCCGGGTACAAGTTATCGGGGCCCCCCTACATTGAGTAGCTTTTCATGTGACAAACAGGATTGAAAGTTAGCTGGGGGTGTTCGGCTTCCCATCTGATGACTCCTGCGAAGCTCCAACCTGGTTGCTATTTGTCAAAGCTCCAGGTTGAAGTAAAACCCTGAAACCTATGCAAATTTGTTACAAATTGTGGAACGCACATGAAGAATAGCAACTTCTTCAAAGTCGCACCGATAATGTGATTTTGTTCGCACCAACACAATGTGCGTGTGTGTTACATTGTTGGGTGCGTAACCTATAGAACGTAACCTGTAGAACTGCCCATCGAAGGCCCAAGGGCAAGACCTGAACGCCTAAAAGCCAAAAAAGAGAGAAAATAAGAGCAGGAGAAGAGAGAAACTAGTGCCCAAAGTGGTAACTGAGCGCCCACATATTGTTCTGTTAATGATCGAATCCTTCTTCCGCGCGAATATGATTGTAATCTGAGCACTCCGCATGGCCGCACATGCCGACCCCGTTCCTACTGCTGGACACGCCTGTTTTTGGCGGCGAGGAGGAATTCTCACCGCAGCGCCGGTTTGTTTCGAGGAAGCAGTTCAAGCTCTGGAGATGGTGGACCGGCCTACTGTTCTGGTCGACCCAGCAGGTGGCTGCTTGGCAGCAACAGCCCATCATGACGCGTGCGGCCCCCATCCGGGTGCGCAAAACGACCCGACCAGCGGTGACCCAGATGGCAACGGCGGCCGGCGGCCCTCGGGAACAAACTTTGAACTGCAGGAGCAGCAACAACAGCAAACTCCAGGCTGCCCGCCGCGTGAGCTCTCTGGAGCCCTCGCCTCCCGCAAGCCAACTGACTGGCAGTGTAGGGGACCATTTCTTCCCGGCACTGCACTGACCAAACCGCCAGTGCCGGGGACTCGGAGTGTGCGGACGCGGTGGAGTGCGGCGGCCCCAGCTTGTTGTTGTCGTCGTACTCTTTGACCCATGTTTGTCATCGTGTTGTACATAACATGCCTTTGCCGCAATCCTTTATAGGATTATGCTTTGGCCGGGGCCCGTAGAGGGCCCTTAGCGTCCTAAGGAAAACTGCTTGGCCGTGTTGTGAGAATGTCGTACTGTGTGTGGTGTATGTGTGAGTTTGTTGTTGCAGGTGTTTGCCGCTACAGCCGCCGACATCAGAGAGAGAGATACCGCTGTGACGCTGGTCTGGGTGCGCGGGGGTGTGTCGTTTGTACTACACTCAAGAGGAGCCGTACACCGTACGTGTGCAAGGCGTCGTACAGTGCGCTTGGGATGGACACACGACGGTTTAGCTTCTTCAGTCGCTTCCCCCACCCTTCCCCCCTTCCCCCCGCGGCTTCCCCCCTTTCCCGCCCTAATATGTTTATTGAGTCGCGATGTGCTGCGAGACGTGTAGCGACAGACGAAGCAGGCAGAGGAAGTGGACATTCTCTTGGGTGTCTGTCACTACAAAAAATTGTGAATTCCTATGTGCTCCGCTTCTTGCATCTTCTGGGGCGGTGGAGAGTTACGTGTCCGGGGTTTACTTCATACAAGGTTATTGTGCCTTTGAAATGGGTTCGCGGGATCTTACAAGCGTGACGGATGTTTTCGCCAGTTGGCGTGCGGGTGGTTAGCGACGAACCAGTAACTTGCAGGCGCTGGTCGAGGCGGGTTTAGACCTGTGTTGCGAGATGATGAGACCTTGCCGCGGACCATTGTGAACTGCTCACCTCCCCACCTTCACAGATGCCGTTGTCGGTTGGCCGTTGTCGTACAGCACTGCGGTGGTTCTACGATTCGGATCGCAGTTAAAATCTTTTCGAGGGCCGTTGTGGGCCCTGCGTGTTCATCATTTGCCTGTTTTTGGGGGCTCCATCCATACAACCATCGCCCTCCGTTTTTCAAGTCCACACCGCAATGCCTACCCGGGGGGGCGGGGAGAACGTCTGGTGAGGTGACCCCTTTAGGCAGATTCTGTAGATTAGTTCCCAAGGTCTTGAGGGCAAGAGTGCTTCTTCGCTTGCTTGCCATGGTTGCTGCGTCAGATCTTTCTTCCGTGCCGCAGTTTCTTCGCCACGTGGCTGGGCTGCTGTGATTGCTGAAGTCAAAGTCATCACGCACCGACGGTTTCCCGCCCTAGTGAGGGGTCACTGCGACGATATCGGTCGGTGCCTCGACAAGCGCATTTCCTTCCATTACCAGACTTCCATTACCCAAGACGGTGTTGAGTAGTGGAGTCTTAAGGGTCTCAAGGATTTTTGTTTCAGGGCTCTTGCTCCGGGTTTTGGTTTTGGGGGGGTTTGAGATATCTTCTCTTGTCACTATCTTTGCCTCGCGGGCTGCTTCTCTCCATTATAAAGAAGCTGCTGTGCTCTCGCGCGGGCTGTAAAGGGGGGAGAGGGCCTGCTAGGAAAAGGGGAGGGGGAAAAGCCGTTGCCTGGCTGTTGGCGGCATGTGAGCAGGTGACATGCTGGTTCCCGGGCCCCTGACTCTGACTCTTGACTCTTCAGCCCCGTGCTCTCTCAACTTTTCCCGGTCTGAAACTAAGTGAGGAATATCCGGATCCACAATACTGGTGGTGTGCTTACTTCTGGGGCTGCGGGTGCCGTGGTGTGTGTGTGTGTGTGTGTGTCAACCCTGCACAATGAGCAACAGGAGCGGGAGCCTAAGGAGCCTCTGCAATCCACAAACCCCGCAAGGGCTTTTTACAAACGGATTTACGGACCTTGCGAGTCGATTCTGTTACAAGTTGGGCTGATGGCGACCACCCGCAGCTGCCGCAGTTCCCTTCATCTTTTATCTTTCCATTTTTGTGGTGTGTCTTGGAGCGGGGCACTCTCTTGCACGGCTGGCTGGCTGGCTGGCTGGCATGCACGCCATGCACGGCTGCATGATACTGCTGTGTTGTGGTGTGAGGTAGTTTAAAGTTTCTGGAGCACCCTCAGATTGGCTGACATACATACACAGGATGCACAACACCTCTATCTGTGTGCCTGTGTGTGTTTGTGTGTGCGGTGGTGCATAGAAAGAGCGCTGAAGGCAGTAGGAGCACCACACGGTTGTCGTTGATGCCTGCGGTGCGGTGCGGTTAATTATAGAGGAGAGGGCTGGATGGCGAGGAGGAGGCTAATCAGGGTGCGGCCATGGCCAGCTTAGGAAGCAATGGAAGTACTGGTCCCCTAGGGGTGGGATGATGCTGATGATGCTGATGATGCTGATGATGCTGATGATGCTGATGATGCTGATGATGCTGATGATGCTGATGATGCTGATGATGCTGATGATGCTGATGATGCTGATGATGCTGCTCAGAATCCAGCACGGCTGCTGCTGCTGCCACCGCTGCTGCTGCTGATCCCCACACAACTGAGTTTTGTTTTAGTTCCGCACAAGTAGAATTGTTAGGTGCACATTATATTAGCAGGTAATGCGTTAAAATTGTAGTGAGATGGAGGTCTATTGGGATACCAAACCGAACCCCAAGTTTTCACGAAGTAGACAAGGTTCCGAGGAGTGCGGTGAAATACTTTGTTTCTGGCTCTTGCTTTTGCAGTCTGCTTTGCTTTTGCAGAGGGCCCGACCCCACTGTGTGACATGCCAGTGGAACTGATGGTGGTGTGTGTTTTCAAAGAAAAAAATGCTGGTGGTGTTGTGTGTGTGTATTAGTTGGTTGATTAACTTTCAGAGTGCACATGAGAGACTACATACATGGTGTGCTCTTAACTGTTATGTCATCAGGGAGACTGAGCAGGCGACAGCTGTTGCTGCGGTGGTGATTCACGGCATCTGGTGGTCATCGACCCAAAGATTGGAGCATAACAATGATGATGATGGTTGCTGATGTGAAACACCTCCCTGCTAGGACGCAACGTTAGGGGCATCGGCATTCATCCCACCTTATATAAACGGAAAGAAAGATGAGGAGGAGGCGTGTTTTTGTGATGGAGACCAATGGCGGCTTAAATTGGCTGGCGTGTGGCTTGAACCGGGGGTATCAAAGCAAGATGAGAGTGCAGGGTCTCTCTTTTTGGGGTGATGCTGGCACATTTCCACCGCCCCGTGTGTGGCGCGTGCCTTTGTTCCTCACCATGTAACGCGGGAGAGGCCTCTTCTAGGAGGTCTCTTTCAGGGATCCAGTAACTGTGTACTGCTCCACGGCCTTGCATGCTACGGCAAGCATAACCAGGAAGTGCCTCACCAATAATAGAATTTCTGAATGTTATAATACAGGTGCTATATCATCATATAATAAAATATAATAAATCTCGGAGAATTCCGGAACTAACCCCGCTAGACAACTAGACAGCGTAACATGACCAATGGCAACAGCCAGTAAGATCATAGAACTTCACTTTCAGCAAGAACATGCTGATCCTAACCGCTTTCAAGGCCTGTTAGCTTCCCCAAACCCTAACAACTGTCAACAATTTAAAATTTCTCTGGATGAGCCGCCCATAGTGTAACATCCTGATGGGGTGTCACACTGTGGGTGACTTGTCCCAAGAAAGGACGAGCACCAGGGCCCCTGACTGGGGGCCGAAGCACAGTGCAGGGGCGGGCGCGCGGCTCTACATCCGTCTGTTCCTCCGTGTGCGCCTCAGACCCTCACTCATGCCAACCGGGGCGCTCTCCCAGACCCTGGCTAGGCAACACAGCGGGGCTGTGTGCAGGTGGAGGATGAGTGGATGATGATCGCTCAACACATTGAACTCACCCCACAAGTAAGAATTAAGCTTTGAGGGTGTCTCAAAGAGCCCATAAGTTGCAATACATAGGTCGATAGAACTACGGCCCTCAACAGAGTTAGGAAAAGTATGGGCTCCATACCTGTCACCGGGCACCCACCAATTGACAATTGCAGTTCCAGTGTCATGGCACATCTGTGCCAACCGCCACCTGAAAGAATTGATGCCGGCATCTCTGTTCGTGCGTGTGATGCCTAGTAGGGGATGCACCCCTGCACTGCATGTTTCAGGCAGATCTGGAGTATTCACTGTACGGGCATTAAAATCCCCTGCAAGTAGCACCTCATCACCCTCACACCGCAGCCTGTCAAGTTCACCAGTAATGCTGCCAAAAACCGCGTCAGAGACATCACTGAATGTGAGACCACTCCCGTCAGTGCTGTTGTGCACACTGGACCCCTGAGGTGAGCAATAACCTGCCCCCATGAGGAGCGTGTGGCCTCCAGGGAGTATATTATGAAGTCGAAGCCAGACAACCTCCACCCCTATCGGAGCATTTGTCTGACCTACTTCTTGCACATGGGAAGTCATCTCACTCCGAACGAATACAGTAGACCTCGCACAGCCTTAACCTGGTCAAATCTACCCGATGAGAAATCATGCACGTTCCAAACAAGGATCCGAATGCAATCGCCCCCCCGGTGTGTCTCCTACCCAGTCATAGTGTTCAGCTGCCTCAGCTCTGCAGCCAAGCTGCTAATGTCTACCTTCTCCCATACAACACTGCCTGGCTCAGTGAGCACTATTAGGTGTGTGCCCCGCCATGAGGGGGCCCTCTTGGAATCAGCCAAGTGCCAGAAAACATCCTGGTACCCCCTCTTGTATGACTCACCACTGGCTGTAAGCACCATACTGCCGGGAGTGACTCCCCCCTTCCCTCGCCCTCTGCATCCAGGCCCAGCTGCTTCCGTATCCCATAAAGTGCCTGGTAGACCGCTGGGGTTTTAGTGATGCAAACCCGTTGCATCGTTTGCTTACTGTTGCATGCGGCAACACAGGGGTGCGCCTCAACTGTGCAGTCCTTGAACATGACCCTGATGCTCATCAGTTGCTCTACCCTCCACTGCAGTTGCTGAAGCACCTCATTGTGTGTCCAGTCAGCTGGCAGTCTGTCGACGATTAGAGCATCTCGGCCGATGTGTCTGCCAGCGCTGATTGCCTCATCACATGGGTCCACCAAGTTTACTTTTGATGATACAAGGAAAAAAAGAGTACCAGTATTGTGGCTACCGAAACTCCATTAAATGCCACCAGGATAAAGAGAAGCTTCACGGTTGACAGCGCGTCGGATGTTGTTCTCTGCAATTCTTCTGTCACTGTGTTGTGCTGCTGTGCCAGCTGCTGCGCCTCCTGCGCCAGCTGCTGCGCCTCCTGCGCCAGCTGCTGCGCCTCCTGCGCCAGCTGCTGCGCCTGCTGCAGCAGCTGCTGCTCCTGCTGCAGCAGCTGCTGCGCCTGCTGCTGCACCTCCTGCAACTGCTGCAGCAGCTGCTGCAGTTTCTCCCCGTGCTGATCGAATAGAGACGATAGGTTTTGGAACCCCTGCTGCATATCTTGACGCAGCAGCTCCAGCTGCACATCACGTCCATGCTGCGATTTACAGACTACGCCACATCGCTGAGTAGGTGCGCGGGCTGTGATCCGCATTCTGGCTAAACCGCATCGTGGCTGAACCATCGACAGCCGCACGCGCATTGCCATCATCTCAAGGCGCCTTGATGGAAAGCGAAAAAGAGGAAAGATGCAGAAAAGTGACTTTACAGGGGCTTTGAAAGTCGAGGGGTGTAAAAATCTGCTAGCATTCAAACAGGCTTCTGTGTCATTATAATGCAGCGAGTACACTATTTATAGGACCGCAACATTGAAATTCAAGTGAGCCTCCGTACGCTTTTTACGCCGGGTTTAGTGGGCGTAAGGCCTTTGGACGATTCGGTTGCTTCACCACAGCCCGTGTCCTCTGGGCCATATTATGCGGCCATATTATAATAACGCGGCTGAGTTATCTTCTTGAACTTGTTTCTGTTGTGCAGCACGCGCCCGCCTGCCCGTGCCTGTGTCAGGCGCTGTTCACGGATGACCGGCCCTATTTTTTGACCACAGGCGGCGTCATAGAACTGCAAGAATACGGCCCGCCTACAGGCCCGAATGCACTGCAATTTCACATTATTATATTAAAACCTTCCAAAACCATGCGAACAGATTTCCAAAATACTACACCATCAAGGAAATCGCCTCCTGCTAGTAAGTTGCAATAAAAGGCAAATAGGGCCGGTCATCCGTGAACAGCTTTTGACAAAAGCATAGGAAATGACTCTTTTCCTATGGTTCCTGAGGCCTTTCACTTAGGCTCAGGTCTCCTTAGCACGAAATTCTGTTTCAGAAATGACAACCTCTCTTGGAGCAACAACTTATTGCATGCGAGCTTGCCTTGCTGTCGTTACAATGCAAGCCTGGCGGAAATGCCTACTTGAGGCCTAGGATTGCCCTTAAGGCTTTGATGCGCCAAGAAATGCCATACTTTCTTACGAATTTGCAGGTTTGTGATCCATCATATCCTGCGGGTGGTTGAGCACGTTCACGACCCTCATGGTCGGTACTGCTATTTTGAAAGGGCACTAGAGAATCGCATGGTTGAGCTGCAGCGTGCGTGCCTGAAGTTGCTCGCTGAGTTAGGCAAGATCCCGGATAACAACAGCGGCCGTTACACGTTCACTGGGCCTCACTTATTTATCTGGTTTGGAATCAGTTGATGGATGTGAAAAACTCTATTTTCCATAAGGTGCTTCGTGAGGAAATTCGCCTTGCCCTACAACCTGAGCTGAGCACTCTCACCGCCAATGCGCTGCTGGGGAGCTTGTCGGCCGGGATGGTTGGGGTGACGCGCAACACACTGATGGGTAGTGGGAGGGAGGGGCGGTGGGTGGAGGCGGCGGGTGTGATGGTGGGAGCGTGTGCGTCTTGTTGGGCGGAGCTTCCTTTGGGGGATCCACTGGCAGCGGTGGCTTGTCCTGCCATGTCGTACTTTGCAAGTTCTGGGGCGGAGATGCGGAGAGCGCGAAGGGTCCAGGAGAGTTTCCAGTAGAGGTCCAGGCGAGTTCACTAGTGCTAACCGGTACGCAGGCCTGCCTGCTGAAGTGGATGACTAGGATAACGCGAGCCGTTTTGTTGTGGAATGTCCATGGGTTGCTGGAGACAGGCGTTTTTAAGCTTGACAGTGCCGGAATTAAGTCTTTTGTGACTAGCCATGATCATTGCTACCGAAGCACACCTAACGGATGCAGTGCCAGACAGTGACACGTCTGATACGGGTGCAGAGGTCAGGAGACGCCGCACGTGCTGACTATGGCGGGGTTGCTCTTTACGTGCGTGATACCGCCTCCCATGGGGTTACCATTGTCCGGAAAAACTACAGTCTTGCAGGCTGTGAGGTCCTGTGGATACGTGTCAACCTCCTGTCAGGAAACAGCCTCCTGGTGGGGGCCTGTTACCTTGCACCTGAAACTTCCCGAGTGTGCCCAGCCGGAGGTGCAAGTAATCCACAGCGTGCAGCAGCAGCAGAAGCTGCTTTCGTGAAAGTCCAACAAGATATTTCCGAGCTCCGGCAGCTGAGGGAGGATGTGATGCTTGCCGGTGATCTAAATGCCCGTTTATCTAGTGCACAGCATGCAAAGCACCGGTCCTCGCCTGCTGACCTGCCCGGGTACATTAGTGGTGTTCCAGATTTAGATCAGCTGACGGCACTGCAGGAGTTCATGGGCTTACCGGGTGACGCGGGCCCCAGGGCTATACAGACGTGGCCCAGTTTTGAATATGGTTACCCATTGGTGGCAGGAAACTATTGGGGCATTTCAGTTGGAGGAGCACTTGCAAAGTGCTATGCATCTGTTGTGGCGGGAACAAACTTTGAACTGCAGCAGCAGCAAACTCCCAATTTGCAGGCTGCCCGCCGCGTGAGCTCTCTGGAGCCCCAGCAAGCCAACTGACCGGCAGTGTAGGGGACCATTTCTTCCCGGCGCTGCCGTGCGACCAAACAGCCACGTTTGGGGCGTCCTCGCAGGGCGGTGTTTCGCTTTGGCATTCGTCCCACCTTGTTTAGTCTTGTGCTTGAGGCGGAGTTAGGTGCATGGTGTGTTGTTCAAACGGGGAGAAAGGGGAGGAGGAGGAGGCGTGTCTTTGTGGCGGAGCCCGGTGGCGGCTCCAATTGGCTGGCAAGTGGCTTGAACCCGGTGTATCGAGATGCGAGATGATGGTGCACGGGCTCTCTTCTTGGGGTGATGCTGGGCGCATTTCCGCCGCCCTGGGCGTGTGTGCACATTTACTTCTCACCATGTAACGTGGGAGAGTCCTCCTCTAGGAGGCCACTTCAGGGGATTAAGTAAATGTGTCTCGGGCATCCGGCCTTTGCACGCTACGGCAAGCAGTAAAACATATTGATTGCCACGTAACCGGAAGAACCTCATAACGGGAAGAGCCACGTAACAGGAAGAGAATTTCTAAATGTTATTATGTAGTTGCTTTATCGTCGCGTAATGGAAATTTAACTGGCCCGCGGAATTCCGGGGTGAACAACGAACCCCGCCAGACAACTAGACAGCGTATCATAATCTGCCTTTACGAATTCAACCCAAACTACTAGCATACGTTTTTAACGACGACACGGCAAGATTAAGGATACATCGGCGGCATCACCATGTTGCTCCAACACAAAACCGCGTTGAACGCTAAGCGCATTGTGCTTGCTTCTGGAAGCCCTCAAAGGAAAGATTTGCTGACAAACATGGGTGTGAAATTCGAGGTACGACCCGTCTCCTAGTCCGGCTGTCGGGGCAACTCCCGCAGACATTACCTGATGCCCATGCCCATAAGATTCGCAAGAGCCTCACCTGGTGTACGATGCTACCGCTCCATCAACTTCCTTTGGAGAAGCCCCAGGGTGGCACCTTTCTCGCCCATAGCCCGGACCTTGTACTACCGCCATCACACTTTGCACTGCCTGAGTCTGAAACTTTGATGTTCACAGCAAATGACCAGTTTGGTTTGTGCACATGGTTCTGGTAATCTCGTAATGCTCCGCGCCCACCCTGCCCCTGCTGTCGCACAACTTGCGGCACCAACTGTGACTTGCCCCAGGTCATCGCTTCTCGGTTCGATGAGAAGCTTCCAAAGGACCGCTTTCCCTCCGGAGCCGAGTACGCTTTGGAGACCGCCCGGCATAAGGCCCTGGACGTGGCGGCCATGGTGGAGCAGCAGCGCCAGCAACACCAGCAGCAGCAGCAGCAGCCGGGGGAGGGGAAACAGATGCAGAACCCGCCACTTGTGGATCTCATCATATCCGCGGATACGGTGTGTGTGTATGTATGTATGTATGACTTAGATTACACTGTGGGCTGTTAAAGCCGGGGGCCGAAACCCAAACACCGCGGAAGGGTCGGGGGCACCCGCAGCAGCACAAGCCGCAGCTAGTCTTGTGTGCTCCCCACCCCGACTCCGACTGCCAACCCACGACGCAGCCGTTCAGCAGCGCTTCTGTCCGGGGAAGGCGCCGCAGTGAAGATACGACGGGCACTCAAGTCCCGCTCGAACACCTCCACAAGACTCAGTTAGGGCAGCAAAGGCTCGATTAACAACAATAATTCCCCTCTCCGCCCCCCAAACTCCCTAAAGGGGAGGACCCCCTTCCCCCTCACTTTTCCCCGACTCACCCCTCCCCGGCCCCCGTGTTCGGTGCAGGTCGTGGAGGCCGACGGGGAAATTTTGGAGAAGCCGGACGATGAGGAGCATGCGGTCCGACTGATATCCAGGTGGGTCTTACCATGGTTTCGGGTTGTGGTGCGTGTGATGCTGGCCTGTGTGTGTTTTGGAGGGGTGTGGGGATCCCCCGGGGGGGCCCTTAGTGCCTGGGGGGGGGTGTTATTACGGGGGGGTTAGGAGGGGTAACCTGGGGGCCACGTCGTACCCAAAACCCTAGTTGTCTAGCGGCGCGTGTTAATTGGTCATTGGGGGGCAGGCCGTTGGGACGCTTCACCTTCTGGTCTTCTTGCGATGTCGTACGACAGAAATCCCTCCTTGTCGCGGCCTTGGCCTCGACCTGTATGTATGTTGTTACAGGGTGGTATAGCTTCACCAGCGGCCCCCTTTCCCGGGGCAGTCCCTGCTCTCCCCTGCTAGAGGGCACCCTAATCCGTTCAACCCATCCGACTTCAGAATGTATTCGTTGGGTTCAGCAACTCACCACCAGCATCCAACCAAATCTAGCGGATCAACGGCGCCTCAAATTAGTTCCCGGTCAGCTCGCAAGTTGATATTATCACGTCCTACACCGTCCATTTCAACACTCCTCAAACACCCGAGGAGTCGGCAGGCGGATTTGAACTCGGACACTCCGGGAGCAGAAGTCAGGCTTTAACCCTAAAACCCTAAGTTTTAGGGCAAAACCCTAAACCCCTAAGTTTTAGGGGTTTTTGCCCTACAATAACCCTAAAACTTGTCGTGCCCTAAGTGTCTTGTCCCGCGCCCTCCCTGTGTCACCAGTCTGAGCGGGAGAGACCACCAAGTACACACGGGGGTTTCGCTCGTCCTGCCGGGAGAGCCAGGTACGACATGTGTACGGCACCCCGTAGTGCAGTACAGGGTGCTGGTGTGTTCGTTGGCAGGTGGACGGGTAGTGGACGGGTGGGTGCTAACGAGTTTTGGGTTTTGCGGCTCTCATGTGTATTTGCTGCTCTCCACTTCGTCTTCTCAATCAGCGAACAGACGTTTCAGATGCAGCTGGCGTGTCGGGATTTATGTCGTACACGGCGCGAGGGAAACCGGTGTTTCTTGTAAACCCTTTACGACCGTATCTTTCGTCCAAACATTCGTACAGCGCAGATGGTAGAATAGCTCCGCTATCCGGCCCTCCTCCTCCACCTGCTTCTACTCCGCCTGCCGGCACCCGGCAGCCTGCCCCCACAGCCCAGCCACAGCCCAGCCACTGCCCACCCCCTTACCCACCCCACCCACGGCATCATCACCGGATCCGCAACATAGTTTCCTCCCTCGCCGCCCATATTCCGGTGCCGTACATACACATACGTACACATACATACATACATACACACACCCTGCAGATCCCGCCACTGGCCAGCCCCCCTTCATTCGAAGCTTCTTCGTGACCACGGATGTGACCTTCGCGCAGCTTTCCTCCGAAACCATTCAGGCGTATGTGGCGTCAGGTAGCAGGGGGGCCTGGGGGGGGTGGGCGGGAGGAGAGTTGGAAGGAGGGGAGCTGCCGCCGCCACTCTTAAACGGCCAACACACACATATATAAATACATACATACATATGCACACGCGTGTGTGTATGTATGTTCGGGCGGGGCCGTGTCGGTCTATCTCCGGTGCGTCCCACTCCATCATCCTGGAGTGTCGTGGCGGGATGGGCTCTCTCTCTCTCTCTCTCTCTCCCCACCAACATCTCTCCCCACCAACATCTCTCCCCACCAACATCTCTCTCTACCACCATCTCTCCCCACCACCATCTCTCCCCAACAACATCTCTCCCCACCAACATCTCTCTCTACCACCATCTCTCCCCACCACCATCTCTCCCCAACAACATCTCTCTCTACCAGCCCCCACCCCATCCGCATAGCCCCGAACTTCGATGGACTGCCACCCACCCACCACCACCATTGACACGATGCGCGCCTACCCAACCAACCGCCGGCAAACGAATTAAACCACCAACCACCCATGGGGGGTAACCGCCACCCACAGGCGAGCCCTTTGGCAAGGCCGGGGCGTACGGCATTCAGGGTCTAGCCGGCTCGTTCGTTGTGGGACTTCGAGGTTGTTTCTACAACGTGGTGGGTTTTCCCGTACACAGGTGCGTGTGCGTGGGGGTGGAGGGGGGTCACCGGGAGAACAGAAGCTGATAAAGGGATCGCCACTGCGATACAACAGACCCTTAGTGGCTCTTCCATCGTTATACGCTCTGCCGCATGTAAGCCCTAAGCCAACAACCTAAAACCCTATAAATGGAAGGGACGAAATACGCGAGGCACCCCTTAGAATACATAGAAATATATGTACGGAACATGCGTACAGTACCTTGAGTGGGGGGGGATTGGGGGGGGTCCAGGGAAGGAAGTAACCCCCATTCCGAGTAGGGGTGATGTCCGCCCACCCGGCGAACCCCCACTCGGAGTAGGGGGAGGAAAGGTCTGTCGTCACGTGTCGGCGGCCCCTCATGAGCCTCTCGGTGGCCCGGCCTTTGGCCTTTTTCGTTGCCAAGGGTTGGGGCCGCCCGTGGGCTACAACATGCCATGCTGGGAGCTGACGTCGCTTCACCGTGGATGCGAATGACATGCTGCTGCTACCGCTACTGCTGCTGCTGCTGCCTTGCAAGATGTAGTCCCTCGTCTTTCTGCCAGTTAAATTTCGACATTATCACACCCTTCTTACCCGCAGTCCCTCAGTTGCTAAACATGTTTCGTGTTCCTCCTCTCCGCCCTTTCCCTCCCTCCCCCTCCGTTCCCCTCCCTCCCCGTCCCTCCCCTTTCGGTCGCCTTTCAGGTTTTGCGCCGAAGTGTTGGCGCTCATTGAGGAAGGTCGCTTGAAGCTGTAGGAAGTAGTCCCGTTCTGTCTCGCATCTCGTGCACGTGCAGATGTGCGGGGGAAGGGGAAGGGTGCGAGTGCAGGGCAGATGACGTGTGGCATTTGACATGCAGCAGAGTCCTTTTAAAATCCTCCCTCCCCTATACGGCACAGCTCCTGTGCACCTATACGTTTATATGTGTATGTACGTCAATTGTACGTCAACCATACCCACATCTCGTTGCAGTATAACCGCCGCCCGTTGCTCCCAAGTGGGCATCACGTTAGCGTTGACCACGGGCACAAGTACGGCATTGATCACGGCAGTTACGATGACGTACATAAGCCCCACCACAAAAGCCAGCCGAGTGTACCTGAAAAACACATATGCAGAAGCATACATACATACATATATACATACATGCATACATACATACATACATACATACATACATACATACATACATACATACACAAATCTCTGTAACGGGCAGTTAGGGGGGTTGTTAGGGGGCCCATCCGGACTTCCAGCCGCCGATACCCCCGATACCGGGGGAGTGGGGACGTTTCTTCCCCCTCCCCCCCTCACACCAATACACACCTCTCTTCCCCCCCTCACACCAATACACACCTCTCTTCCCCCCCTCACACCAATACACACCTCCCTCCCCCCCCTCACACCAAAAATACACACCTCCCTCCCCCCCCTCACACCAATAATACACACACCCTATCA